ATCTCCTAAGCTAACATCTGCGTACATCATTCTAGCATAATTAAGGCGTAATATGTTTATGGAAAATGATAATTGAACTTGTTTAAACATAAAGTCCAAGTACCTACGCAGCTGCTTATCAATTTGATGTAATGAAACAAATGCAAAACCGCTGTTTACGTCTTATTTTGATGAACAATATTTTGTAGTAAGATTTATTTTAATATACAATATGTAGGTAATAATGATAATTTCAAGTTCTGTAATTTAGCTGACATTGTAAAAACCTCTTTAACGGCATAGGTAGCAACCAACGAGTCTTTGCCCTCTTAACTTTCAGTAGTAGACGGGCGTTACTATTAAACTGCTACGAGTATAGATTTAACTCGTATTATGACGAATGACTTGGCATCAACTATTGATTCTACACGCGCTGTTAAATTGGGAACGCTATACAAATAGGAAATTGCTATAACTCTAAATCTTAAGTATTCTGAATCTGAAATAGAACCAGGAAGTCTGTTAGCAGATGCGCCTGCTTTTAGATAGACACTTTAAACAGCAAGTAGTTTAGTAGTACAAATCTAATTTTACTGCTCATCATATTATTTGCGTTCACTCTACATATTTACCTATTCTAGAACTATCCAATACATTTTCAGCTTTTAGTTAATGTAAAACTTGCGTAAATAGTCGTGTGTTATTCAAATTGTTAGTCCAACAAAGAATTTAAAGGCCTTGAAGCTCAAAAATGTGTATTTTAAGTTGCTTTATGTGTGCTCTATAACTAGCCAGCTAGTAGCTGATAAATAACGCTGCGTCACGACCGCCCGTCTGCTTCGATCCTCGTTCTCATAACAACACTGACACACACCAACGCACGAAAGTACCGGCCGGCACCACGCAGCAACGCAACACATCAGCCTTTAAATGGCGTCTTCCTCATTCGTTTCTAACGCTAGAGCGAGATGACACGAAAACAACTTATCTGACCGCGTACTTGAAGTATAAATAAGGAAGGTCATGCCGGCGAGACAGACTTATGCCGAATCATGCGAGAAAAAGAGACGCAATGCAAACAAATCAATATCATCTCGTCGTTTAGCAGTAGAAAGAGATAGCGCAACAACAAACCGGCATTTTATGCCGGTTCGTTATTCATACCACACAGTTATACGAATATGCGCCTTGCCACTGTGTGCTTGAACATAGTTTTCCGCTACACGAATATTGTTTACAGTCTTAGAAACAAGAACGTAATTATTTTCTCGGTGGTACCGTTGTGGAATTTTATGGGTTTATTACACGAAGCATTTTCACTGTCGCAAATAAAATTAATAGTATTTAAAAATAATTGTGAGCCGAATAACATCACAATGAGTGACATTACGAAGAAATTTCTACTTTTTCATAAGAATTATCGTAGACTACGAGACGTAGACGTACTACGAGACTACGAGTATAATGTAGAGTCGACCATTTTTATACACATGTTACAAATAGCTCTTTGTCTCTATTTAGCCTGATTTGCTGTCATTGTACAAGGAATCTATATATATAAAAGAAAGTCGTGTTAGTTACTTCACTTATAACTTAAGAACGGCTGAACCGTTTAGCTGAAAATTGTCAGGGAGGTAGTTTAGAGCCAGGAGAAGGACATAGGATACTTTTTATCCCGTTCGAAATTAAAAAAAAAGTCTGCTTATTTATTGCCATCAAGGCGGAACAAAGTTCGCCGGGTCAGCTAGTAGTTCCATAAAAGAACTAAAACGCAAAATTCGATTCTCGATAGTCGAGTAGGTACCACAGCGATCCCCCTCTCTTGGCCTCGTGTAACTCGTGCCAGCCTCCCCCCTCCTTCCGACACGTGCATCCATCGGCTTTTACCGTTCTGTGCCAACGCTAGAAAAATGATTTCATTCGGATTAACCGCAAGACGGAAGACTACAACGAAAATAAACAAGAATATCTTGTTTATTTCAATGAATGAAAGAAGGAAAAACATTTGGATTTGAAACTAACATCTGAATTGACTCTACAAATAACGTTTTATTATGGCCACGAATAGTCCTTATGAATATTCATTTCCAGCAATTTTTGACGCTTGACCTTATAAATATGAAAAACTCGAAACGATCCAAAAACCCATTTCCTTGTAAGAAAAACAGAACACGATCCCAAAAATCGAAGCACTTACTGCAGTACGACTTAAAAAGCAGTGAACTCTCCGAAAACAAAGGCAATCAGCGCCCAACTCAAACAAATAAGGCAGTTCAACTTTGATCGTCGAAAAATCACGTTCTCTATTTATTGTGGTAGGTAGATGCATCGGTGCACACAGCGGGCCGCGCGGCACGTGTAAGCCGTCTGCACAGCACACAGGCGCAGCCCGGTGCAGCTATTCAGGACGCCACAACTACGACGCTCTATAACCGCGCATGCATTTTAAAACTGAATCTATGCTGATTGTTCTGGCACGCGAAGATTAACGTCGTGGTGATCGGTTTATTTTTGGTTTAATGCATACCAACTTGGCGTTTGATTCACTCACGGTTTTAATTTTATGCCTTTTCCAAAGCTTTCAAAAACGAACGACTTACAATGCTTTCCTGAAATCATTAGACGATGTGAATCTTACAAAGTACATAAAATAAATCTCAAAGTATGCAATACTTGGAGATAATCTTCAACGTAAGTAGGAGCAAACATACTTTTCTAGGTATACATATTACAAGTTTATTGAAAGCTGAAAGTAGGTCAGTGGTGCAGCGGAGGGAGGCTCCCCGAAGCAGAGCCGTCCCGCGTCACTCACCCTCCCGCCCTCCTCACCTCTATTTCGCAAGGGAATGTACCCCATATTAAAATAGCGATCCAGTCAAACTACACCGCAGTCTCTTAGTAAGCCAGCTTACTTTATCTAAGATGTAATCATACCGTGAACTCTACATTACGAACTTCGTTAAACTACTATTATAAAGATACGAATATTGTTACCAACTAAGTACACTGAAAAGAAAAATTGTGTCGGTTAGAAAATCTTCAATATCTTCAAAAGTACCTAACCTGACTTTATAAAATAGAGACTAAAAATGCATACGATTATGTTTTGTTTTATAAAGCTAGGTAAGGTACTTTTGAAGATAAATAGAAGATTTTCTAAACGACCCTTTTTCTTTGTGGTCCAGTGTAAGTAGACGTTGTAGAGTTAAGGATAGCGCCTATCCTTAACTCCAAATAGCTTTATTCTTATTTATAGGTACGTTTCCATAACTTCTGTCTTGTGAAATACCTTCTAACACAGTCCATGGGAGCCATGGGAGGTGCGTAATGTTCTATAAAATAGCAAACAACGCAAACCTTGACGCAGTATTGATCCATATTCTGCCCGCTTGTCGAACGACACGAATCACCCCGCAAATGTAAAGTGACTTCAAAAACCTTATTTTTTATGCTTCGTCACCAATTGTAAATGTTGATACTGCATGACCCAGTAAACACCCGAATTCCAACAATATAGTTTGTACAAAGTGCAGCGATGATATTACCTCAAAATAATATGCGTCATAGTTATGAATCATCGGTCAGTATTATGGCTAGTGATGAGTAAACGCATCATGAAGTCACAAAGGGAAGCAAACTGATAATTAACAAGTTCAAGTGGTTCTTGTTAATTTCTGAAACCTTGCGGGAAACGCTGACCAAGTTTAGCACCTCAATTAAAACTGAAGTGGATTGTTGCTAGGTATGCAGAGCTGTGCCCTCAAATATAACAAAGGAAAGCAACCTTCGCAGACCACCCTTGGCCGTGGTGCTGCGACCTAGATCCCTGCCGCCCCCGCGCCGGTGCCCCGCGACCTGACCCACTTACCACTGCACTTGATATAGCCTCCGTTTTCAGGCGCAGAGCAGCATTTTCCCTCGCGCAACCTAATTCGCTAACAATCCCTGACACAGCTCCCTTCCACAGCCAAGGTTCGACCTATTTCTAAACTCGTCTAAGTATTCAAGAACTTCAATTTCAATCAAATTCCTGCAACAATTGCAAGAAAATTTTTCAGTTTCACAAGAACCGCTCGGCGTTACAATCGTTAGCCATCTGAAAATAATTCACCAGAATTCACCAAAGCAAAACGACAACGAAGTACGTAGACGTCAGATCTAACTATAGCTTTGAGCGGCATGGCAACAGGACGGTTGTCGGCAGCAGCTCAGCCCGGGTGGCCAAAATAATGTGGCATTGGGCAGAAGGTCGATGCAGAATCTTTGGCAAGCCGAACAACTGCGGCCCCGAGCGCTTGCGCGCCTCTGTCACACCTTCAGCACATTCAGATGCATTTCGATTTCCAACTGGCGATCGTTACGAGAAAAATACCGCAACCAATTACAGCACATTCCATGCTGTGCATTGAGAATGAGTAAATAAACTTTGGTCCTGCGTTACATCATTGGTCGATTTAACAAAGGCATTGTGTTTCCTGAGAATCATCGCTGATTCTATCGTGTGCTGTTTGATTAGTGCACGGTACTGTGTAGATGCAGCGATGGTCACGGTGAGCGGGTGTGGCAGGAGGCGCGCTGCGGCGTCAGCAAGGCCGCACTCGCGACCTAGAACCGTTTCCGTCTCTGCTCGCTTGTTCTAACGAAGCTCATAAACGTATTGTTTTGTTATGAAAAGACGCTCATGACAACCTTGTTAATCCCGGAGAGTAGGTATTGTCAAAAGGCATCAGCTTGGCCAAATTTTGCCCTGAATAGGGTCACGTGTTTTTAAGGTTTTCAGGTTAAACAATTCGCTATTGTTTTCAGATTTCCAGTTACTGACATTTAAAAAACTTGTATTCTTAGTAATCGTTGGCGGAACGAAACAATATCGAAACCGCTATTAAAATATAGGTATTTTCCTAAAAAAAACTTGTTTGTGGATAAAAAAGGTGTTTTTGCCGTACCTACTGTTTATAATTTATTCTGTAGAATTGTAAACAAAACTTTTTTATTTATTGTGTTATCTTGGCTTGTTTCAGATTAACAGTGTTGTGTATCAGTGCACTTGGCGCGGCTGCGGGCACACCACCAACACTTGCGTCGCCATCGAAACTCACATCAGAAGTGCCCATTTAGGGTAAGATTTTGTTTGTTTTACACAGAGGCGGCGTTAAGCGTGGGCGATGTGGGCCACCGCCTACGGCCTCGCGGTACATGGGGCCTCGCGGCGTCTTTCCATTCTATACATAGCCAGAACGCAAGGGTGTGAAACTAATCGAGTATAGTTTGGATATGACTTTTTCTACTAAGCTCCTCCAAACTATACACGACCAGTACGCATACGCTGCGTACTGCTCGCGTATACTTTGTAGTGACTTAGGTCAATTATCTTCCTCCAAAATATACATCGCCAGTAGGTACGCATACGGACTAATCATGTATGTATTGTAATAAGTGCGTGATTACAATTTATACGCGAGTAGTTGCATGCTAGTCATTTTGACTTATTGACCTCTCTTTCTATTACATACTAGCTTTCCGCCCGCGGCTTCGCTCGCGTGGAATTTTGTCTGTTACAGAAAAACAATATCGCGCGCGTATTTGCTCACCGTTTAGACCTACCCTGGACTACGACAAACATTTTAAAACCAAAATCAGCTCAATCGGCCCAGCCGTTCTCGAGTTTTAATCAGACTAACGAACATCAATTCATTTTTATTTATATATTAATTCATATCTGCGTGTCTACTTTAAACATTGAATCATCTTACGACACGTGTCATTGTTTTGATAAAGGATTTTTTGGTGTTTCTTATTCTGCCATAGAAAAGATATTTGTTTTGGGGCTGATATTTCACCAATTGTAGGTATGGAAATATGTCAAAATGATTTTGTTCTTGAAATAAAAGTTAATAAATAAAATAAATAATAAATAAATATCCTTAGACATTTTACACTGCGCTTCTAGTCCCAAACTAAGCAAAGCTTGTACTATGGGTACTAGACAACGGATATAAACATAATTAAATGCTTTAAGAAGGTTTTTGTCTCGTCGCGGAAAGCCAGCGGAAATATTTTCCGACAACGGAAAAACCTTTGTAGGCGCTTTAAAAGAATTATCTCAGTCATTTATTAATAATCAAACAGATATCATAAATTATACGGCCAATGAGAATATCAAATTTAGCTTCATTCCACCGTATTCGCCCCATTTTGGTGGTTTGTGGGAGGCAGGGGTCAAGTCGACCAAACACCATTTGCGTCGGTTAGGGAACGCGAACCTCACTTATGAGGAATATTCAACATTATTGGCACAAATCGAAGCAATCCTTAATTCCAGACCCATGTATCCCATGTCGACCGATCCCAACGACCTACTTCCACTCACTCCAGCCCATTTCCTGGTTGGCCGACCGCTTGTTGCGCCTGGCTACAAAGACATCACGACTGCATCTACGCCTCACTTGAACCGGTACGAGCGCGTCGAACAAATGCGGCAGAACTTCTGGAAGCGCTGGACGAAGGAGTACATCGGGGAACTGCAGACCAGAACCAAATGGCAGATTAACCAGGACAACTTGGCGCCTAACACTCTGGTGCTCATAAAAGAGGACAACTTGCCACCACTAAAATGGCGACTAGGAAGAGTAACACAAACCTTCCCGGGAGAAGATGGACTAGCTCGAGTGGCAGACGTAAAAACTGAAAGCGGAATCATAAGAAGAAGCTACCAGAGATTATGCCCATTAATGCCAGAAGAATAACCGTTGGAGGCAGCTGCTCCAAGGCGGGGGGCATGTTCAGAAATCGATTACGACATCACTAGCGAACGCGCACATCACTACGCACGAAAATGACAGAAAACGGTTGCGATCGCGCCCGGCGCCTACCCCACTTGACTACCATTCCTCTAACCGCGAACATCAAATATTTGTATACGTTATTTCATGTTATAAACGCTGAGTATCGAAGAAAGCGAGTTTCAATCACAAATACATCACATCCATCTACAAGTGTTTTTGTCTTTCTGGTGTACTATGTGTTTAGGAATTTCTATAGGTATGGTTATTTTTCTGTTATCCGTATACACACAGTGAAGTTTTTTACCAGTTACAATGAAAAGTATGTAAGATTAATTTAAAAAAAATATAAGTCATTTTAAAAATGTATCAAATCATACAATGTATGAACTAGGCAAAGTCTAGAAGCCACTTTCCTACTAATATCATAAATGTAAAAGTTAATCAAGATTGATGAATTGAAGGATGAATGGACTGATGAATGGATAGGAAGGATGAATGGGTGGATATATGCCTTGAACTTGAATTAAGTGAGTATGGATTCATGGTTAGATCGAAGGATGTTTTTTCACTCTTTAACGCAAAAAATACTAAGCCGATCTTAATAAAACTTCGCCGTTCTATTGTTAATACTTCAGAATAACATAATATAGGCTGTAATTTAGAATAACATTCAGTTATTTGGTCAAAAAATAACGATAAGTGTCAAGAAATTAGGTCTTTCTATGATAAACTTAATTTCTCAAGGGTGAAGTCACAGGCAAAAACTAGCACAATAGATTTACATTTCTGCATTGTCACGAGTCACCTAAACGCTCCTCACCTCTCCACTCTCGTATCTCCTCGAAACAAGGACTTTTCATCGAATTATTGTTGCAAATACCAGGGTGGGACAAAAATGACCCAGTGGCGCTTCTAGGTAAAACCGATTTTAATTGTTTTTCTATTTATGTTATATTAATAAAAACATTAAAAAATGATAAAATTCACCAAATCAGAAAAAGTCAAAAAGTTTCATGGACTTTCGTTGAAAAATAAAAAAGTTAGAGACGATCAAACTCGCGAGTGGGACAAAAATGGGACGGCGGCCTTTCTAGTGTTAAATAAATGCGAGTCTTGCTACGACGCGATACAGTGGAATTCAGCTCGCACAGCACTACGTACCTACAATTTTATTCACCTACAAGTTTTGTCTCTCTCTATCGCGTGCCTCTGAACTCTTCTTACGCTGTTAGGGTTGCTGTCTAGTGAAAAAATAATTAATCTACTTATTTGTAATGAGGTACGTATGTAGGTAAGTATGCATTCATTATGGAAAACCTTGGGAGAGGCCTTTGTCCAGCAGTGGACGTCATTTAGCTGAAACGAACGAACGCATTCTGAGCAGTAGTCATAGTAGGTTAGGTTCCTATACTATCCTAAGAATTATTGATACCTACATGGCCAACATACCTTTCAGCATCTTCGGGAAGCGAAAAAAAAAGATAAATCCGGTAGATTACTTTTCGAATTTAAACACCCGAACGCCGCACAATATTTCGTTCTCTTTATGTCCATTTTTAAATAATACTTCGATCATAGAATTATAATCATACTACAAGACTACAACACACGCCAGCGTCCTGACGAGCGCGCGCGTGACACTCGACTGATATAATACCCGCCGGCGGGGCGCTTCCCTGTAGGTAATTATCGGATGTACCTACCGCGCGGAGTGAGCCAGGCCTGGTTTAGAGAAGTTTGGCCTTAAGAGTTATTTATCTAAGGCCAAACTTCTTTAAAACCCCTTCAATCCCTGAAAATTAAGTCCGCCACTGTACAGTTGTATGTGCAAAAGTGTAAATAAATAAATAAAATATAGTGAGTTCATCAGCTGTACAATATTCAGTTTTTAGGAGTGAAAATTCAAAATGTATTTTATACGTATTGTATTTTATTGTAATGCTTCTCAAATAACAAAAACCGCCCTTTTCACGCTGAATTAACGTTGCACAATTTGCAACAGCTCAATAAACTTTAGACAGACTAAACTCTTTGTTCTAAGTGAATTTATTTAACTTCACTCAGCGATATAGAATGTATACTTTAAAGGGCCCTTTGAAGTAGGGTGCAGCTGGGAGGCACTTAGCGCGTCAGCACCTGTGCAAATAATGTGACAGATACAGAAAGCTCGCTCCGTGGCAAGAGTCAAGCCTTATTTGAGGTGATCGTATACCATAATAACAACGCCTTAATAAAAACCTCTTAAGTGTAAAAGAAGTAATTTTTCAGGAGGAAAATAAAACTGCTGGTTGTAAAATTTTTGTACGACGTCTTTTATGCTTTTTTGTTAATTTATATGTAAATTCACCTGCTTTTATATCCATATTCCAGAACTGTTCTGTAAGATTGACCAAAATGCATAAATATGAGAAAAAATGAATTCTCGAGGTTTTCTGTCTAGACACTACTAAGTCATCATGCACGGCATGATTGCGCGCGTCTTTGTCCCGGTTTACCCATGATTACAATCAGTAAAGTTACTTTGATCCCAGATGGACAGTCTCGAACCAAAACATAAGAGTTCATTCATTATTTTGTAACTGCAAAAGGCTCATAAGCATCATATCCCCCAAGAAAGTATGACGTCACTCGCATTATACCCGGCAACTACTAAGTCATCACGCACGGCATGATTGCGCGCGTCTTTGTCCCGCGCATTTATCCCGGTCGCGGCGGAGATGAGCCGACTTTATACGCCGCGAGTCCTCGAGGCGGTCACAATGAGTACAGGTTCCGTACTGCAACATAGATGGAAAGGAATAACGGTGGGTCCAGAATCAGTATTTCTTGACATTTGTAACTCATTTACGCTAAAACTGCTGAACAGATTTAGAAGGAAACTTTATACTTTATACAATGTTATAACTTGATTCACATGTTTTCAATGAGTTTGGCCACTTTGTATCTAGATCAAATCTGGGCCAAGAAAGTATGACGTCACTCGCATTATACCCGGCAACTACTAAGTCATCACGCACGGCATGATTGCGAGCATCTTTGTCCCGCGCATTCATCCCGGTCGCAATGGAGATGAGCCGCCTTTATGCGGCGCGAGTCCTCGAGGCGGTCACAATAAGTACGGGTTCCGTAGTCCGTACCTCGTCCTAGATTAAAATTTATAACGGGGGGTGTAAAGCGGGCTTATAGCCTACCAGTTTCTAATCCTTCTAATTTATAAATTTGAAAATTTGTGACCTCATAAATACACTCGACATCAAATAAATCGCACCTCTCGCGACAAGCACTTTCAAACGTATGCATCCCCACTTCCCACCAAAAAATAGGCAGTTACGCTTGAGCCAACTCTTATGGCTATACAACTGTTAAGTTGGAATTAATCGCTATCCATCTGTTAAAGAGGACACGTGTGATCATTATTTGGTTTCATAACCATAAAATTTGGTCTAATTGATCCCAGAGGTGAACCCAAAGTGAGGTCTTTTTTCGAGTCACATTTATGGTATATGTTAATCGTTCGTTCGTTCGTTCGTTTCAGCCGAAAGACGTCCACTGCTGGACAAAGGCCTCCCCCAAGGATTTAGGTACCTCCCGCGACCTTCACCAGATCGTCGGTCCACCTAGTGGGAGGCCTGCCCACGCTACGTCTTCCAGCTTGTGGTCGCCACTCAAGAACTTTCCTGCCCCAACGGCCATAAGCTCTTCGAGTTATGTGCCCCGCCCACTGCCACTTGATTTTAGCGATTCTGCGGGCTATGTCAGTCACTCTGGTTCTCCTACGTATCTCCTCATTTCTGATTCGATCACGCAGGGAAACTCTGAGCATAGCACGCTCCATCGCTCTTTGGGTGACCTTGAGCCTTCTTATGAGACCCATAGTAAGCGACCACGTCTCACCATATTATGTTAATCATTTATTAAGAAATTAAATGCGTTTTTCTTTAAGGATATTTTTTGGGCTTTCAAATAACACCAATATTGTTGGAGCACCATGATTGTGTCAGAAGAAAATCTTTAATGTTCGCGTCGCGGAAGGTGCGGTTTATTTGATGTTGAGTGTAGGTAGCAGGAAGGCTGGATACAGGCCGCTATCAACCGTATAATCTGGAAATCATTGGGGTTGGTTGGCCTATGTACAGTTTAACATAATAAAGGCTTATGTCCCAATGATTTCCCGATTGGCCGGTTGGAGATCCTATGGCTGAAATGATGATGATGAAAGTTTGAGAATAAGACTATAAACGATATTGAGTTAGGAAATTGGCCACATTGAAACCATAACTGTCAAATAAGTCGTAGTTTCTGTGACAAACTGAAAACTGAAGCCGTGAACAAAAACCAGTTAGTTAATTATTGCTAACAACGTTTGTACACTGCATGTTCGAAACAGAATATTGGTTTTGATAATACTGATCCTTGAATATTGATACAGACACGTTTGAACTACGTATGTACGACGTACGTAGAATGGAATTCGGATATTGTGTCGACAAAAGCATTGCAATACGGTTAGTTGCTTTGAGCAGATATTTGTTAGTATCGGATTGGAATCGAAACTGAATGACATCGGCACGAATACAAACACAAACCTATAAGTACTATAAAATATTACAAAGCTGAAGAGTTTGTTAGTTTGATCACACTTAACTCAGAAACTACTGATCCGAATTGAAAAATTATCTTTGTGGTGGACAATAAATTTATTAGGCCTACATTACACCACACTATAAAAATGGAAATTTACAGAAATTTTAAGAAAATTATTCAAACTACATATTTTAACGCGTACGAAGTCGCTGGCACTACTAGTTATTAACACAAGAAACCCGTTAACCCTTGTGCTATTTCCAGGAATATAGAGTTCCCTAATGTTCCCATTCAAATGGAACATTCTGGGAATATTCCTGACCTAATGAATATTCTTAGGAATGGTTAAAATCTATTTACACCCGTACCATAGATGG